AACTAAATACGTATGTGAACGTTATATGTATGTATGTATATAGTAAAACAAAACATTTAATAAGTGAAAAAGAAAAACAGAAAAGCATAGTTTTTGGAATTATCGCAAAATCGTGATAACTGCTGTCAAACAAAATACTCGTTAGTTGGTATTCATACAAGATTTAAGGTATTAAACGTTTATAAAAGCATTAACTTGGCATTACAATAAACAAAGAAAATCAAAAAATAAATATACTCAACTCCTAGATACGAGTATATGAATAAAAATTTACTATATGGAGAGTAAAAGCAATAATAAAAATATTGATGGTCTTACCAGTTGTACAGGTTAATCAAGTCGCTTAATTTGGATAATAATATGATTTTTAAGTGATTTTTCTATACAATGTGAAAAAAAAAATAATTTTGTGAGAAATCGTTTTTTTTTTTCTTTTAAAACAAATCATCTTTTATGATTTATTAATGAAATTTGCGGAAGTTCAATTATTGCATAAATGACAACAACTCTTATATATTTAAAATTTATGCAGCTTATTATATTTATATGTTTATATATACGCATATGTAAAAATAGTTGTATAAAAATTGAGCAGGTAAATCAGGTGGAAATTTTTTTTTTACTTTTACATTGTAATTTAATTTATTATTGTGAATGAGTTTTTTTTATTGAAGATTCTTGAACTAAAAAAACAGTATTGCCAACAAAAACAAGTTTTGCCTCTTCTTGTTTTGATACGACAAAGAGTGTCAAAACAGAAAAGTGCAAAACTTGCCAAATAATTTTTTGTTGAAAATTTTGGGGCATGACTTTCGTAGATCTATGAACTAAAACGGATTGTTTTGTGCAGTAAAATAGCCAAATCGAACCGAGATATCAGTTCTAACTTATTTTTATTCTCCTTTAGGTTTGCTATACTTATACCGTCCTAAAGGTCTACTACCATTTTAATTAGTGAAATAATTTGCTTATATTTCGAAAAAATAAATATTATCACTTACACTTAATAATTTTTAAAAAATATGATTAATTGGCAACTTCGATTTTTATATGAAGGTATGGATAAATTTCATTGGCAATTTCTTTTATAAACTCACTTTTCATATTTTCAATGTTATATCTCATGATATCTACTTTTCCATCCTATTTCAAATATAAATGTCGAAAAGTAAGGATCCACGTTAATGGCATAGGAAGAGCTTTACGAAACTAGCAAGGATCGTGCATTAAAAATTTTCATGGGAAGACCTATTTTTACGCACTTTGTCAAACTGTTTTGGTGCAAATTTTTGAGCTTGTATATAAGCATACTTTTACATACTTAATACAGTTAATTTATGTGTTTAAAATTATTATTCATTTCAATAATTCGATAAATTTTAATTTTTTTCTTTTAAAACAAAATTATCTATAGAAATACATATTACAAATCATGAGTAATATAGTTTCTGTATAAATACAAAAAATATGCCTTTAAATTTGTTTAAGGTTGTTGTGGTCACCTTAAATTACGGGGATAATAGCAAACAATAATAAAGCGATTTCTATTGTATTAAAATGAAAGAAAATTACTGCGTACATAATAATAAACATTCATCGACATTAAAACAAATTCATTATGGTTTCTTGAATAAAAATCGAAAATACAGGGTGTCTCGTAAGTCCAATTAATTAAAATATGTAAAATATTATTCTGTCTCCTCTCTTATAGGGAGATGACATTGATTAGTAAGTTTGTGTAAAAATAAACGGAATAAACCATCGTAATTACCCCCTAGCCTACAGCTGGTGTAGTTGAAGGTGCTACCAGCCTACAGCTGGTGTGGTTGAAAGTGTTATACATTATGTTTTATATGCAAGTGTTATATACATATACATGTGTTTCATTCCTGTAAAATAAAACTTGAACGGAACGTTCCATAACAAACAGTCATGCCATTGAAAGCAATCTTCATATATATACAATTAAATTTTCAATTGAAAATGCGTCATTTCGTTAATTATTATTGACATACATATCATACATAATTCGATTCTAGCAAACTACAAAATCAAATATTCCTAAATTTATTGACATTTCATTTTTGCAGGTACAAACAGACCAGATACCAAATATTATTCACTTTTTCCCCATTATTGGTAAACACTCAAAATCAGAATGTATTAAGCGTTTTTTGTATCATACCAAATAATTTCAATAAAATTTCGATTTCATAGTACTCCGACATACGAACTCATACTTATTTATATTTAGTATCGAAAATAAAGAAGAAAAATAAATTTCACCTTTTTTTAAAACTGGTAAAAGTGAAAAAAATAAAAAAATTATACGCTGTTTATTTTTCAACTTTTTGTTTGAATTGGATTGCTTGAAGCTTATTGAACTGAATTTCTTTTGAATTTATTAAGGTATTATTGAAAATTTTTTTGGTGTTAAGCATATACTTCGTTCACATATCTATTTACCTATATATATACACGTATATTTTCGGTTACTTTAATGATTCTGTGCACATTGCATGAATATGTAAGTCAGTATGAATATACGTAAAGCATTTTTTATTTAATTTCTTCAGATTTTTGAGGTCAACCGGACTTTTTTTTTGTTTTATTTAAGAAATTAGTTTACAAAAACAAAAATTTCAAATTTCCTATGTATTCAAGGTAAAATTTGTTACGGGGGGCGGGAAAGAAAATAACTTTGTTATCAATTTCAATTCGCTTTAAAATTAATTTAATTCAAAAAATTTTTTATTGTAGCTTTCAACAATATAATCGAAATTTTCAGTTTTATTAGTTGATTTAAAAGAAATAAATAAATTTGAGGTCAAACAAAATTTGCCGATACTTTATGCTTTTTGTCATTATTCCCTTTCTTGAGAATTAATTCATTAAATAGAATGAACTTTCTATTAAAATTAAAGGGTTAAATTGTTTATTGATTTGTTCATTTCTCTTTTTTTTTTGCTTTTTAGATTTAATTAATCAGTTAATTTCATGGTTTACAGTTTATATAGTAATTTTATTGCTATAAATAGCTTTTCTCTACTTTATTATTAAATGCTTGTAATGAAAGGCAATATTTCTTGTAATGAGAATAGGATATACAGATGTGAATTCAAATGAATGAGAAAATTTCGTTTGGAAATAAAGAGCACAATTTTATCTTGTAACTCTGTCACATATTCATATATATGTCATACATGTGTCTTATGTATATATAGGTGGCAAAATAAGAGCACGCAGGCATAAAATTTTTTGAGATTTTTGCTAAATTTTTGGAAGTTTATTTGAAAAGCACTTATTAATGTCTGTCTGTCTGTCCGCCCGTCAAAGTCTATTTTCACGTGCTCAAGAAAAAAATGCTACTTTATAAACCTTTATAAGAATTAAAATTTATTTATTAAATTTTACACAATTTCGTCTGAATTATTTTTCTTTTAGAGGAAAGTATTTCATCTCTTTACTAATGGCGACCGGCTTTTCTCATTTTAAAAGTTTTTTTTAAAGTTTTATGTCAGATGCGAATTGTATCAAAGCTTTAGCTATTTCCGATTACTTGGTATTAAATTAAGCTGCAGAATATTTTGATTTAATTAACAATAAATTCAATTACATATTCTCTTTAAGAACGGCCAATGACATTTCTTTACAATAATATCAACTTAAAAAGAAATTGATAAGAAAAGTAATAAATAAAAGTAATAAATTCCATAATATAAACATTATTTTTTATATTTTTTTTTCTTCTTCAGGCAATATTTATGGGAACATGCAGACATAAGCATGTACCGAAGTGCTATAATGTAATTCCCAAAATATCAATTTTATATACTTAAAAATATTTCCGAAATCTTCTTAGCCTTGCACTTTATTACTTTTTGGATTGATTTTCGGGTCAATAACCTATTCGCAACGAAAATCGCGATATTATGTAACACACATGTCAGTATGTACATACATACATACATTTACTTAAATACTTTTGTGTTGAAAAGAATTATTGTTTTGACTTTTGGCTGGGTCAAGAATTATGTTGCGAATCAAATAAGATTATTGCATTAAAATGAATCCTGAAAAAGAATGCGTTTAATACCAAAAATTTTTTTTTTTGTTACATAAATTGGAAATCAAAAATTCGTAAGAACTTAAGAGAATTTTCAAAAAATTTATTAAGTGTTGTAATATTCTTACATAATACATACATATATGTATTTACGTATTCGTAGCAATAATTGTATTTTATATTTTGACATGAACTTTGTAATTAAATTTTTTTTTTGTTTTATTCTTGACAAAAAATATTAAGATATATAAATAAGGATGTGCAAATCATTCACAAAGAAATTTTTCATTACTTAGATTTTAAAATTATAAAATTTTAAAAATTAAGAAAAGGTGTGGTTAGTCACACAAACAAAAATCTGACAATAAACAAGATAATAGTTACGATGCTTTGGAATTTTTCTTTAAATTTGCTGAAAATTTCAAATATATCGTATGTATTTATGTATTATAAATATTTTAGTTTACCTTGAATATTATATAAATTCTGCAAATTTTGAGAAATTCAAAAATTAATCATCTCAAATATTTGACGATAATATGTTGCATGTTACCATGTTTTCTAAAACAAAACAAAAAAAAACCGTCAATCTGCGTGAATCATGATAATTTAAAGTTTAAAAAGCTCTCTCTTGTGGTAGGGGAGTTGTTAATTCCGATTTAAAACAGTACATATTCGTCATGTTAATGGTAATGGTATAATGGATGATTATAATTCATTTTGAAAAATCTCCGGGTTGCAACCATACCCTTATACGAGTATTGGTTGTATGGATTTTAATTTAAGCGTAGCATTTTTTTAAAAGTAAAATACTCTTATATACCCTCAATGCTATATTACATGATTAAATATTATGAAAACTATTTTGGGTCTTAAACAGCATTTTCCAAATTTATATTTAAAATTATTAAATAAAAGAAATTATTCTACTTACCACTTAATTTTCGAGCTTCAATATCCCAAACTAAATTACTAAAGCATAATAATCCAAGGAAAATTAATTGAAAATTTACAGCCGACCGTTGATGATCATAACGGGCCATCTTTTTCACCCAAAATTATTGCATATGAACTTGATTATGTATAAAAAATTATAAATGTATGTATGTATGTCGATTTGTTTTTAAATATTTTTTTTTTTCGCAAAAATTTACAGCCGAAATTTTTTTACTGTCATAAAAATGTGAAATTCAATTTCCTTTTACAAAAAAATATTTTTTATATGTTTTTTTTTTATCAAATAAGGTGATTATTTTTTTTTGTTTTTTTTTTTTTCACAAAAAATGTACAAAGATCTCTAATGAGTGATTTTGTTGTCCTTTTAGATAATACTGAAAATATTGTTGTTACAGTTGTTGTTTTTCAATTCGAAATTCGATAAAATCTGAAAAGAGGAGAGAAAAATTTTTTTTAAAAAAATAAATTTTATGGGTTTTTTTTTGTTTTATAAAGGAATATGTATATGTATGTATGTCGTAAAATGAATAATATTGAATATTAAAGAATTAAATTTTAAAATGTGAAAAGAATTTTAAAAATAAAATATAATTTTTTTGTATATACATACATAGTATCTGTGAAATTTCTGCTATTTGGCTTATTTATTTTGTTGCCTAAACGCACTAACTTGTTACACTGAGTTATAAATAAATTCCTTAATAAGTTAGCGGATCAAAATTACAAACTTAAATATTAAAATGCTTAAGCCTCTTTCCCTTACTCATATGATGTATACCATGTACTGTATACATATTTACAATCCTGTCGATTATGTATTTACGATATATAGGCCTACAATCATGAGTATGTCAACTTTAGTCAACTGATAATTTGAACCTCCCCACACAAATGGCATATAAAGTTCATTTTAGAGGAGACACAATAATTATAGTGCGAAACCTTAATCAATACTTAACATATTTGATATTACCCTCACAATACGTAACACCTCACAACAGAAATAGGATCTAGTGTCATTGTGACATTATTGAAAAAAAAAATTATAATTTTTCTCTAAAGTTTTTATAGTAATTAAATATTTTTATGTCATTATAGCTTTTCTTGAAAAAAACCAATTATTTTCAAATTAATATTTTCAAAGGGACTAAAAACAAATAAAATTTAAAAAATTTCTATTGTTTATTTTGAATATAAATTAACTGAAAGATTAGCTCGTATTCTTGACGTAGAAATTAATGTCCTACATGTGATATGTTTGTTATAGCCTCGGTCGTGGAAGTGTTTTAAAATTATGCCTTCATGTTAATAGCCGGTACGAATTATAAAAGGTGTTAATTAAAAATTATTATTTTGGATTCTAGGGTAAATTTTATAAATTTATATATATGTAAATACAAATTTCAACTCATTTCTTTAATACCTCCATGTCCAAAACAAGACTGTTTATGACACTTCAACTTGTTTATTGTACCTACTTCTAATTGTAAAATATTAGCGAATATTTGAGGCAACTACTTTGCAAAAATTAAAAAAAATAACTGTTCTTTTTATACTAGTTATTATACTGTACTTTAACTGTAAAAACATTCAATTCTTTTAATATCACATATGGAATGTTTCACGTATGGTTATAACTAGGTGCTTACTCCTATATATAATTACATTTTAAGTACATTATCAAGGAGAAATTCAATGCACTATTTCTTTTTTTACCAAAAAATTTCGTAACTGACACTTAACAAATTTTTATAATTATATGTATCTAAAATTTCAACATCACTTGTTTTGCGTTTGAGTGAATTAAAAGGGTACCTCATAATGATTATAATAATAACATAACATCAAAAAATTTTTTTGAAAGATAATTAAACAAGAAAAACCGCACTATAATAATAAAAATGTTATGTAAAAAATTTTTTAATTCTCTTATACTAATTAAGACAAAAAATTCAAAATCTAGTTAAGTTTATTAAAGGTTTTTCGCAGTTACCAAAATATAAAAATTGAACAATAACAATGAGGAGTCAAAAGTGTATTACAATATACATAACTGTTGCATTTGAGTGAACATTGTGATTTGAGTGCCTAACTACTAGTGTTATAAAATAAACATTTTATGTATAACATAACTTAATTTTTTATATGCGTATGTGTTTGTCATTTTACAGTAATATTTTTTTTAATATCTAAACAGTTATTTTTAGGTTAATGTACAGTGAATGTGTGTATATAAAGAGTGGAGACACTTCTTGTTAAATGTTAAATGTAATGTTATGTTAAAATTTGTTATATAAAATTCTCATAATATTATGCACATTATGCTAATTTTAATTTTACTTAATATACTTAAGTGTTTAAATGTATGTAAATATTATTTTCACGTAGCAAAATTGTAACTAGTATGATAGTATTATAATATGCCCTACTTACTAATTCATATTATGTAAATTATCATATTTTAATTAACCAGAAGTGAGCACATAAAATACATACAAGTATAGTTGGCAGAACAAGTGTTTTGTTGAGTAACTGTCGCAGTTATTACATGAGTATGCAGTGTAAAAACAAATCTAATTTTGGTATTTAAATTATTTTGAAGTTTTATGTATAAACTGTTTTCTTACTTAAGTATTTATTTTATATAGTCATATTCGAATAATTTAAGTACATATAAATTTAACGAACTGTTACGAATTAAATTATAGGGAAATAGTTTATATTTAATAGCTTATAAGTATACACTTATATAGTGAAACTTCTAATCTATAATCTAACCTATATTTTAAAGTATAATTTTTGTATTTTATTAGAACACTTCTAGTATAGCTAGTTCTCTTTTTTTTATTATTCTGTAATAAAAGAATAATTTTATAATACTGGAATTTTAGTTACTATTTTAAAGAATGTAAAAATTTCCAAATTTTTTTAATATTTTTTACATTTACAAAAATTAACATTTTGTCTTTTAATAAAATAGTATAACAGGGTCAAAATAATAAAATTTATTTTATGGTTCAGTTGAAGTTGCGTTTAATATTTTCAAATGGAATTTTAATTCAAAAATATTTTGTTTTAGGAAAATTTTAAGAATTTTTAATTTTTAACTTCAATGATTAATAAAAACTTTAATAAAAAAATATTTTTTCGGAAAACATTCTAGCAATTTTGTTAAGGCTTTTCTAGCAAAGTTGGTAAAAAATGTGCTTGTTAATTTTATTAAAACTGAACGGTGTTCATTTCAAAAAGAAGGGACGGAAGTATTTTGTAAATGATAGGGTGTGTTATTTATATGGAAATGTTGTTATCAAGGAATAAAAACTGATCTATAAATTTAAATATTATGGATTTGATATCCACATAGTACAATAATTTCATATTATATTCTTAAATTCTAAATACTCGTGCGTTTTCATTGGTGTATAGTTGTTTGATTCATGTTATAAATTTGAAGTGTTCTACGTTTAGGGTGTTGTTATACACTCTTAAATTGGCACTTTACAAAAATTTGAAATTAATTAGTTATTTAATGTGGAGTAACTGTAATTATAAAATTATAGTAGAATATTGCATTGTATTACATTCGTTGACCAAGTTTTCAAGTTGCACAGACTGAACCTTAATTTGAACAAATTATTTATATTGTACAATTGCCGTATATTATAAATTTTTATCACAATTTCAATAATTTTAAAGCACCGGGTTGAATTTTCACCGCTTTAAATGTACTCGTAAGTACAGCCATTATAAAAAAGTATTTATTTATAACTATTTAAGTACTTATACGTAAAGCTCGAAATTATGTCATTTAATTCAAAGTTTTTGATAATAACAAAAGCTAAAATTTTACATTTTATATATTAAATAATAGAAAACAATATTGCGTTACTTTTTATTATAGTTTCCCATTTTAGACCACTTTCCCATATTTTACAAATAAGATTCAAATTTAATCAGAAATAGAATTTAACCTAATTATATTTGTAAACCTCAATTATTTTATTATAAATGCATATAATTGTATGAAGCTTAAGAAAAAACAAGTAAAAACGTTTCAGTCGGTATGAACCGATTGAATTATACCCTGCACCTTTCATTGTTGTATAGCAATTACTCAAACCTGTGAAACCATTCTATAGAAACTTCACGGATATGTCTGACCTATAACTGAACACACAACTACCAAGTTTCATGAATCTGACTTTATTTTTTTTCCAAATATTTAAAATTAGCTTTTGGAGTTGTATGGCAGGTACCCGAACCTGTCAAGCAATTCCACTAAAACTTCGCAGGTATATCTGATCTATAATTGGACACACAACTGCCAAGTTTCATGAATCTAACTTGTTTATTTTTTCAAATATTTAAAGTAAGCTTTTGGACTTGTATGGGAGCTATTCGAACCTGTCAAGCAATTCCACCAAGACTTCAGAAATATCTTTGACCTATAATTGGACACACAACTGCCAAGTTTTATGAATCTGTGTTTATTATTTTTCCAAATATTTAAAATTAGCTTTTGGAGTTGCATGGCAGGTACCCGAACCTGTCAAGCAAATCCACTAAAACTTCGCAGGTATATCTGATCTATAATTGGACACACGACTGCCAAGTTTCATGAATCTGGCTTTATTATTTTGCCGATTATAAAAAATTTGCTTTTGGAGTTGTATAGCAGTCACCCGAACCGGTGCAGCTTTCTCATTAGAATTTTTAGAGCATATGTAGAATATAATTGGACACATGTATACAAAATTTTATATTTGTACCATTATTAGTTTTTGAAATAATTAAAATAAACTCTTTGAGTTGTATGGCAGCTACCCGAACCCGTTCACCGAATTGGTCCAATAACAATAGGGTTCGTCCTTGGCACAAAAGAAGCAACTTGTGAAAGTTTGGTGTCGATTGCATTATTCGTTTTTGAGTTATCGTGCGATCGGACGGACGGACGGACGGACATGTCTTAATCAAGGCAGAATTTTACGCTGAGCAAGAATATATATATATATGTCCATACCGCAGATGACTCCTTCAAGTAGTTACAAACTCCATACCAAAGTTAACATACCCTTCACGAAGTGCAGGGTATAAAAAATTGCATGATGTAATTCAAGGAAATTATAAAAACACCTTTACTTTGAAATAGCAAAATTCATTTGCTATGAAAAAATTTTAAATTAAATCCAATACTTACTTGTAAATGTCTATATCTACAAGATCTTGTGTTCGAATACATTCAACGCGCATGGGCTAATATTAAGATTGAAGTTTCCGTTTAATATTCCATTTTAGTTTTATATGTAAGTAAGTTTTACAATATAGAATAATAATGGTTTTTTGGTATTCTTTCATTAAATTTTGAGACATTCTAACACATTTTATATATAAGGTGACAAATAAATGCGATTTAATTTTTAATATTAT